TACGTACGTATGTATGTATGTATGTCTGTATGTCTGTCTGTCTGTCTGTCTGTCTGTCTGTCTGTCTGTATGTCCGTATGTCCGTATGTCTGTATGTCTGTATGTCTGTATGTCTGTATGTCTGTATGTCTGTATGTATGTCTGTATGTCTGTCTGTATGTATGTATGTATGTATGTATGGATGGATGGATACCCAGTATGATAACCCTAACCCGAAACCTTGAACCCTATATATGTATATATCCATGATAAGGTAACTTAATTCCAGTTCCTTAACCGTAAACACTGTATACCCCTATATAACCCTATAACCCCTATATTTTGGTATCTTACTTCAAGTATCTCAACAGCAACCAAGGTTTTGGGCATCCCCATCTCTGCAGCAGGCATGCGGGCTTAGGGTTTTTGTTGTTTTTAGGGCTTAGGGTTTAGGGTCTAGGGCTTAGGGTTAAGGGCTTGGGGTTTAGGGCTTAGGGTTTAGGGATCACAATTAGCTGCAGCTGGAAGTTAGCGAGGCTTCTTACATCACTATACAAGTTTGGTATTACCCAACCCTCCCAGAATCCTTTTTCATCCAGGGACCGCAGACCTTTAGACGCCTGAGAGCTACAGGCCTCCAGAGGCCCTTAAGAGGTCTCCACCATTTTAAGAAGCCTCAAACCCTAAACCCTCGTGTTCTGTGCTGGTGGTCGGTGGAGAAAAGGTTCTGTAGAAAACAAGCTTAAACCCTAAACCCTAAAACCCTAAACCCTAAAACCCTAAACCGCGTGGAGCCCCTGGACCCCAAAGCCTCGAGGTGCCTCCAGGGGCCCCTAGGGCCTCTCGGCGGCCGCAAGGAAAACCCGCGCCCCCAAATAATCCCAAAACCCAACACCCAAAACTAAAAGCTCAAAACCCCAAATTCAAGACTTTACAATCTTTCTAGGTGTTGGCCGAGGCTTCACAAAGGGGTGATTGTAATGCAGAAGCCTGAATGACTGCTTTTTTATGGTCCTAGTTTCTTTGTATAGTTATATGGTAATTTGCGGGGGTACCTCAAACAGACCCCAACACGATATTGGACATCATTTGGGCCCCTACCGTATGGGGTTTGCGGAACTTCGATTTGTGGCCTGTGACGCTGAATGGCACCCAAAACCCTGCACCTTTAGCCGTTTAGGGTTTAGGGTTTATAGGCTTAGGGTTTAGGGTTTAGGGCTTAAGCTTTTTTCCACCGCGGCTGACTGCGCTGACCTGCATTATTATGCAGCCCCTTCGAGTTTCTGTTTCCTGGCTTTCGTTCCACTGCCGTTCCTGCACCCAGAAGAGACTTCCACCACTAGGTACATTACCCTAGACCTGAAACCTTCAACCTTGTATGGTAGTTCCCATAAACAGGGGGACCCCGATATAGACCCCCCAATACTACAGTCCTTAATAACCCTAAACCCTAAGACCTCCAAAATGGTACCCATAAATTTGGGACGCGCCCAAAAAGCGCTTCAACACCCTAACCCAAAAGTCCCCCTGAAGTAGATAGATTATGGGGCATATGGGGATGTTATTATCATATACCCAAAGCCATATTAGCCATATTCTATCTAATTCAGGGGGACGACAAACCCTTCGAAGGGAGCCCTTTGGCATGAGTTGTCGTGATCCCAGGATTGGTTTGGTTTAGGGTCTAGGGACCTAGCAATGAAAGACCCCTCAGTGTTGCTTGACAGACGCGACTTCCCCTAAAGAATTGCCCATGTTGTTCGCTTAGAAGGTGTAGGAGAATATACCCCCAACGTTCCTGTGTGTCCAGAAGAACCTTAGAGTGCTGCAGTAGCTCATGTAGCCTGGAAGTCTTAGACTCTCGGCGCGTTTTTGGGCCATGAGGAGAGAGACACCGGACGATTAATCTGTAAAACCCCAGCCGACAACTGTCTTTCGTCGTGCAGGCGGAAAAGGCCGTGTGAAAATATACAAGCCCTAAAGGAACCAGATTCCGCTTCATGCTCCATATGTTTTGTGTGTCTCCATTCCCAACCCTCACACCTTCAATCGCAAACCCTAATGCGAATCTTGATGTCAATTTAGTTGGGATTTCCGCGCCCAACACCCTAAGCCCCAAACCCCACACAATTCGCAGGCCATGCGTGCACATTGCGAAGGGAGGCACATGCCCATCTGGTGCGCAATGTACTTACTGCCGCTCGGCGGATTTGGGCATCCTCCAGCGAAAGTCGGGCGCGAATTTCTGGAGAAGCCCCAATGCAACCAAAAGGATCGTTGGACCCCGCTTCCCCCCAAAGACAAGCCCTATTAAAATCGCATGATATGCATGGAGTCCTAAGTTGGGGGTTCGGGAATACCAAAATCTTCTAGCATTTAGAAAATAAGTCATATGAACCCGGCTTACGTTTCACTTTCTCTACGGTTCAACCCTAAGCCCTAAGCCCACCAAAACCCTAAACCCTAGGCCTTACGCACTAATCCCGAAAAGAGGCGTTGCAAATAAAAGATACGCTAGAGTGAAGCCGTCCTGGCAATTTCAGTATGCCGTGTTGCAGAGCGCTTGTGTCGGGGGTTACGCCAACTTGGTAGCCCTAAGCTGATTTTAGCCGGGTTTAGGGTTTAGGGCTTAGGGTTTCCACTATATGGGCTATTAGACCTTAAGGGTACCTTAATCTACCCTTAATGGGGTCCTAGTAGGGAATTTTAGGGTCTAATAGCCCATGGTGGTTAGGGTGGACCTGATTTGGAGTTTGTGGTTTCGCGTTTCATGTTGTTTTTCTTCGCTGCGGCTTTTTGCAGTCTTCCACAGGTTGATTGTATCTCAGGGGTTCTTAGAGGTTCTTCCCTGTTTGGGCCCCCTTGTCATGTAATCCCTAAACCTGAAGTCTAAGCCCCAGACTCTACACCCTAAACTCTAAACGCACCAAGAAGACCCCCCCTAAATCCTATTGCTAAGGGGCTTCCAGCCTGAGTTTTTTCTTTTCTGTTGAAAGGAAGGATTAGGCTTCAGGATGCTTGTAGCCCCAAAATGGTTCTAAATACCCGTTTCTTTGAACAGGGATTTGGGTCTAGGGCTTCGAGATAGCAACCCCTAAACCCTAAACCCTAAATGTAGATCTAGTTACTATCCAATCGTAACCAGTTTATGGACTAAGAGGGCTTCTACTTGGGTCATGGTGCAGGTGAGGGGGTTCAGGGTTTAAGGTAATGGTTTAGGATTTAGGGTTTAGGGTTTGAGGGTTTAGGGTTTAGGTAAGTACAGTTATGAGTAGCTCATAAGTAACCTGAACCTCCAAGTAGCTCCGCTAGATCCCCAAGGAGAGTATGGAAGGACCCATGGGGCGCCTTATACTCCTCTTTGGAGCGGGGGGCTGTATACTTCCAGTCATCTATCCAATGAACGACATGCTGAGCCCTCTGCCGCGAAGAAGGTTAAGGGTTGACCGAATCCCAAACTCTATAGGGTCTTAGCCCTCTGCTTCTATAAAAGGTGTACCCTGACCCTGAACACGAATCCCTGTGCCTTTGACAGACTTGCCACCGAAGCCCCAATCTCGGGTTTCAGGTATAAGGTTTAGGGTTTAGGGGGATCCTTATAAAGAACCTGAAAGAACCTCGGTACACTACATGGGTTCATATGAGGGTTATGCTGGGCCCATCGGCCTTATGTACCTCAGGATATGATATAGTCCCCATCACAGCGACCCCCCAGAATGGATCAAGCGGCTTCTAATGCATCCCACAAAACTATACCCCGTACCCTATGGAAATCAAGACAGAATCCTACAAAGACCCCGCGCAGACCCATAGATTGCAAACAAAAAACAAAGAGCTGAAACCCCAAAACTCCATTGTCAAGCTTGAGGACCCTAATATATCTAATCTGGGTAGGCCCCTGGGATATTTGATATTTTTCCTAATGGCTGTAATAGGGGACCCTATATATTTATCTTTTTCAAAGGGTTTTAGGGGCCAACCCAGTAATGCACTTACAGAATGGGTTTAGGGTCTAGGACACTTACAGACTGGGAGTAGGTTACGATGTAGAAAGCTTATATACCTCTCTCAACCTTCCTCATGGTCCCCATATACTATACCTGCTATATAAGCCTGATAAAAAACCCCCGTGGGGAACCCCTCCTGCTGTTGGTCCGAAGTATAATATAATCCTTATCCCAACCCCATAGCTGTAACCCTACATCTTCCTCGTAGTGGTCCAGATGTTGAGGTACATATTTGTTGTTGAAGGAGGGGGCGTTCGTTCGGGGAAGCGGTCAGCTCTTTACCCTACGCATAGACCCTCAAACTTTGACATCAAACCTCACACCCTGAACCCTTCCAGCATTTTTGTCATCACCAAGGCCACTTACCCCACTCCGGTCTCTACAAGCCAGACAGGCACGGGTTTTGTGCAAGGACCTTCTCGGTGGGTAGCTTCCCCCGTGCCGGAAAACAAAAAACGCACCTAAGCTATAGTCCCCCTTAAGTAGATAGAATATGGGTTTAGGTTAGGGTTTAGGGTTTAGGATTTAGGGAAACTGCTATTTAGGGTTTAGGGTTTAGTCCCCCTTAAGAAGATAGAATATGGGGTATATGGGGATCTTTTTATAATATACCCAAGTTAAAGCCATATTCTGTCTACTTAAGGGGGACTATAGGCGCAAGAGCGCGTTTAACATTTAAGCCACAACTCTTGCATTAGTTGAAATTCTGAGACGGGCTCTGACCCCTGAACCCTAGAATAACAGGCACGTTCGACGAGTGCTGAGCATCGCCGACCCTGAGTCTGCAAAAAGGACCCTTTCTTTTTCCTGGGTTGGTCATTAGGGTTTAGGGGTTTGGGGCCTAGGGTTATAGGTTTGTTACATCTTAGGGTAGGGAAACCCATCAACCGCAAACCCTAACCGCAGCCCCAATCCCCAAACCCTAAACTTAGTGCTTTCCGCGGGAGAAGGGACTAAGGACAACCAAGAGCTTCTTGCGACCTTCCTGCCGTTCGTCATAAAGAAGGCGTGATAGCTCTTGATTAGGGTTTAGGGATTAGAACTCGAGGGTCTAGATGAGCTGTAATCCACATGCCTTAAAGCTGGGTATGTAGGGGATGATATATGGGAGTATTATAGGAGTTTAGATTATAGCTCAGGTTTATTAGGACTCGGGTTTCAGGGCTTCGGGATAGAAGCATGTATATATCTGGGAGGGTTGGAAAATCAGTGTATATGTGCACGTATATACACATATTTAGATCTCTCTCTGTCTCTCTCCCTCCTCTATGTGCGTGTGGACTTAAATGTACAATTTGATCGGGGTGTAAATGTTGTGTGTATGTCTGTAAGTGGGCTTCAGCGCTTAGATTGGGTACTGCCACGGCCCATTATAGCATTATAACATGCAGGATATATGAACCTCTTAATATGATCCCTATTCTAGGATGTTGCTGGGTGGGGGCAGAGCCCAAGGTTTAGGGAACTCGGTTTATATTCCCCTTAAGTAGATAGAATATGGCTTTGTGTATATCACCATAAGATCCCCATATACCCCAAAGTCTGTCTTCTTAAGGGGGACTATACCCTAAACCCTAAACCCTGAATAGTAGTTTCCATTTTCTTTTCCATTATCCCAATATAACCCCTATATAACCCTATATAATCCCTGTATAACCCTATGTAATCCCTACATAACCCTATATGAGCCTATATAATCCCTATATAACCCCTATATAACCCTATATAATCCCTATATAATCCCTGTATAACCCCTATAGAACCCTATATAACCCTATATAACCCCTAGAAAACCCTATATTCTATCTTAAGGAGGACTACAGGGCTTTGTGTCTCAACGCAACTTCAGCCTCAAGCTTCCACGACAACTTGTCAAGGTTTTAGGGTTTGGTGTGTGTATTTGGAAAAACTACTTCCAACTGGGCTTTACAGGGCTTAGGGTTTAGGGTTTAGGGTTACGCCTAGTTACGATCCAGTAGTTAATTGAGCCTTCAAGTACTCCTCTGCCACTTAAACGAAGTTCTCTAGCTCCATTTATAGCAATGAACATTCCCAACATCTTGCGGTCATAGATTCGAAAATCTTGGCGGAAGGGCGGCTGTTTTTTTGTCTTGTCCATGGGGGGAGTGTTCTTAGGAGAAGTGACTATTGTGTTCTGAAGAAGCTGACCAAAACCATATAGGCTTTTGCCTCGCTTCTGGGAGGGTAGGGGTAGGGTTTACCTCAGGCTACGCCCTAAACCCTAAACCTTGTTTCACGTGCTCCCTCGGCATCCTCCCTGGGTACCACCAACCTTTGGAGTCCCCTTAGATTAGGTTCCCCTTTGATGAGGCATATGAGCTATAGTCTAGACTCCTTAAAGGGGGATAATACAAGGGTTTATATAGGGGACTACTATAGGCGTTATTAAGGGGGATACTAGGGGTTTGGATTATAGCTCATATGAAGGAATACCTGACGTTAATTCAGCAGGCCGGCAACACGAGAATCTAAACCCTAGACAAGCAACGGGGAGTAGTATGGGGCGGCGGGCAGGGAAGCCGTGATTGTTTGTTTTCTGGGCAACCTTCCGAGTACGAGGTTTAGGCTTTAGGCTTTACGGCTAGAGTTCATGTAGGGTTTAGGGCGAGTACAGTGTTGTGCAGCCAAGATATTGGGCAAAAGGTCAAGGGTTCCAGGGTTTGACCCTTCAGGTCTCCTAAACCCTAAACCCCAAACCGTACACCCGAACCCCCCGTCAAGGTGACCTCAAGATCCCCCCAACCCCGCCCGTATATGGACCAAAATAACCCCCCCCAACTTCTGCAAAGGATCCCTACACCCAGGTTTAAGGGTTTACTTGGAGGTTCATGGGGACTTAGTAAGTAGGCTAATAATGGGGATAAATGGGCTTACTATATGGGTTAAAGGGGTTGTTAACCTACTTACTAAGTCACCCTGACCCTCCAAGTAGGGTTTGGGGTACAACCTTGAACCCCTTGAAAAAGCCGAATGTTTCTGCGTTGCGCTCGGACCTTGTGCTACAGTGTCAGTTTGTTACAGCGTCAAGAAGGCCTTCAGTGAAGGATCCAGGGTCGAGGGTTTACGCAGGAGTTTCTTCACAGGACAATCAAGGAATATTCCGAATAGGCATGGCTTGAAGCGTGCATGTGTCATTGAACTGCCAGGTCTATGCGCTTACGCTGGGTGAAGGTACCCGATTGATTCATGAATTTGAAGGCATGTTGTCCTCTTTGACCTCAGCAGTAACGAACATGTTAGGATATGGGTATCTCTCCCTGTTGACGTAAGCCACGCATTCCCAATATTTCGCCTACCTGAACTTCAGCCCGAAACCCTGAAACCCTAAACCCAACTTGAAGCCCTGAACCCTAAGCTCCAAGTCTTGACCTGAAGCCGTAAAGCCCTTAACTTCGAGCCCAATATAGACCCCAACATACTTGAATCCTTTTTATAAGGACCCCCGAAACGGTTCTTTCCATTTTGGTAGATCCTGAACCCTACCACCCTATACATATACATATAGATATATAACCCTATATGACCCCTATGACTCCTTTAAAGATACCCCTAATATTCCAAGCCCTAACCGGCAACTCATCATCCCTTCCCTAAATCCTAAACCTCCTAAACCCTAAACCCCTAAACCCTAAACCCCTAAATCCCAAACCCCTAAACCCTAAACCCTAAACCCTAAACCGCGTCTTCAACCCTGAACCCTTTCAAACCTTCAACCCTGAACCAGGCGAGGCGCGAAGGCCTTCTCCCGAAGGTCAGTCAATTGATCCTGGGCCACAAGTGAGCCACACGGTTTAGGGTTTAGGGTTTAGGGTTTAGTCAATACCTAAACCCCCAAAGGTAGGTAAAATAATGGCCCAAACCCCCTAAAAATAGCCCAAAAGGCCATTATTCTACATACTTTGGGGGTCCAGGTATTACCAAATATTTAGAGGTAGCCAAAATGGGATCCTAATTTTGGGAGCTACCCAAGTCTTTGGACTAGGGCTTTCACGAAATATCCGCTTTCATGCAGTGTAGTCCCAATTGGGGTTAAGTTTAGCTTCTGGTAGTATGTAGCATTTGCAAGTCAAAAAGTTATGTAGCCATGGTAGAACATCCGCCCAAATCCGCCTCTGATTCGGTAGGCCGCTACATTATCAGTCAAGGGTTTCAGGGTTGTACCCCCGTCCGTTTGAAGAACCCTGGATTACATTGGCTCATATCGGCATCATATAGGGGTGATATGAGGATCATATTGGGCACTCCTAGACAAACACTGAGCCCCAACCGGGAGTTCTTTTGAAAATCGTCTTCGGGGGTACAGCCCCGGAGCCCCTGCATCAGACCCTCAACCCCCTAGCCCTAAACCTTAAACCCGAAGGCCAGACCCTAAACCTTAAACGCAGGCAGGAGCCCCCTCCTCCCTGAAGGATCCGCTGCTAGTTTGGGTTTTGGGTTTAGGGGTTCAGGGTTTAGGAGGCTGTCGTTATACGAAAAAGCGGTTCACGGTTTATGGCTAAACCCTAAACCCTTTAGGCCAACTCAAGGATAAATCAAGTCGAGCCATTTCGTTACTTCCACAATTAGGGGCAACCTCAAAGGGTCATAGGGGCTCATAAGGTTTGTACGGAGTTTAGGGATATGAGGGTTTTGGGGTTTAGGGTTTCCTGAAATCAGAGTCACTTCGTTGGGGTCCCCATGTTAAGGATTTGAGTCTATTGGGGTCTACATTAGGGTCCCCCTATTTGGGGAGACTACCATTGTTCGAGCGTTCTACTTCAACGTCTGTGAGGGAGTGCCCAGTGTTCACACTCTTAAACAGTCTCTAGCTCTCGCTTACAGGCAAGCCGTGACCCAGACCCGTGGTAGGACCTAGTAAGTAGAGCCCACAGAGCTTAGTCAGTTTGGTTAGGGTGTAGGTTGCTGGACAACATTATGGGTAAACTCTAAGCACAAGAACTAAGAACTCATGAGGGGGATCTACTTTCTAGAGCCTTTGATGAGTTAGCCGATCCTGCGAAAGGACAGCAGGCAGAGAGCCAAGACGTACCAAGAAGTGAAATACGAGTTGTACAACCCTAAACCCTAAACCAGTGTTTCATAGTAATCCTACCAAGTTCACGCCTAATGTAACTCAATGGAGATGAATTACAGCCCTATCCTTGAAGCAATTAGGGCACTCGATCCACATTAAGTCTAGACCCTGTCAACCCCTTAGCTCTTAGACTTTTAGATTCGAATCCCTCAGCCCTAAACCGTAAACCCTAAACAGTAGTTTCCATTTTCTTTTCCATTATCCATAGATAACCCCAATATTATACCCCTATATACTCGCTAAAATCCCTGGAGGTTCCATTTTCTGTCCGTTACCCTAAACCCTAAACCCTAAACCCTACCCCAATATAATCTGGGTCTACATTAATCTGCGATCTACAAGCCTCTGCACTTCGCAGGCCACGTTGACATACGTTTTCATTAGAGGTTTTGGGGGTTATGGGTTTGGGGAGTGGGGTTGAGGGTTTATGAGCTTGGGCTTTAGATGTTTAAGGTTTATGGGTTTGAGGGCTTCGAGGTTAAGACTTTAGGGTTTAGGGGTTGAACAAAAGCTTTTTCCCGGATGGCACCACTGCTTCTGCGTAACATTCTAACAGCAAACACAGCTTACGCCTTCGGGATTCCCTGTAAGCCGCATGTAGGCCTGCGTAAGGGTACCCACCTGGTAACTCCGCACCTGAGTAGTATTTTATTTGGGGATTCTATGGTACCCATTATAGAGTAAGATTATATCCTCCTCTTGGGGTATAGTACTTTCTATACAGAATATAATCTTATTAGGTTCAACCACCAAAAAACATTACTCGCCTGCAAAACTCCCAGAATACACACCCCAAGTAGCAAAGATGGCGCGAGAGAGCACCAAGGATCGAACTCTTGAAGGCAGAAGCCCGGCTGCTCATCAGTATCCCTTTTTGTTGGCTTTAGATGCCTTCAAGTGCAGGGCGCAAGTTTGAGGGTTCACAGGATTTAGGGGTAAGGGTTTGGGAACCCTGAACCCTAACCCCTGGCCCAAGATCCCTAATCCTCGTGTCCCAATCGCCAACCCTGACCCTCAAGGCAAGAACCCTCAGCCTGAAACCCTAAACCTCAAGACCCTGAACGCCTAAACCCTCAACCTTGTAGGAAGTGAGGGAACCGCCAAGAGAGCCCATTGACCTTGGCAGCTTCCGGCCAATGAAGATGCTCGGCTCCTCACTTGAGGGATTAGGGATTAGGCTTTAGGGATCAGGGCCTAGAATTTAGAGATCAGGTTGAGGGTTTAGGGTTTTAGGGTTTAGGGTTTTAGGGTTTAGGGTTCCATGTGATGAGGGGTAAATCTAACGAATTCCAGGTAGGCAGATTCCTTTCATTACGCCTCAACCAGCTCATAGCCATTCTGTCAATACATGCCTGTTAGGTGGACCCCCCCAGCCTGTAAAGTGGTGTAATGGAAATACAAGAGGCCCTTAATATGATCACCATTATCCCCTATAGTCACCACTACTGGGTAGGCAGTTCCTCAAAGAAGCCTTATGTACCCTAAACCCTGAAAGTTGGAGCTTGGGGGGTTTTGGATTCACGGCCCGGGGTAGAGACTTAGGTTTACATCTTCTTCTTTGACAGGTCTGAATTTTGGGTTAAAGTGTGGGGCGACGGCTTGACCTATAAACAAGCAAACACGTTCAAAGGTTGTGACGCGGACATGAAAGCTTGTTTTGGGGGCTGTTCGGGAGTTTCCTCTGCTAGACCCTCAGCCCTTATGTTTAAACCTCAAACGTTTATCGTCCAATCAATAGACCCTAACCCTAAGGCCTAACCCTCAACCCTAAACCCTGAACGCTAGCTTGCAGGCAAGCCCCGTACTCTTTGGCTATGCAAGCTTCAACTACACTTGAGTAAGAGAACTTCGAAATTGCAACCCCAACCCTTTATAAGAATCATATGGAAAAGAAATGGAACATGAAATGGACACTGGGTTTGCGGAGCTGGCAACCCCAACCCCTAGCATAGAGCACCGGTAATGGTTACATGATGGTCAAACCCTAAGGGTCCAAGGACCCAAATAATAGGGTTTTAGGGCCCAAATACCATTGATATTATGGTATTTGGGCCCTAAAACCTTATGATTGGGGTCCTTGGACCCTTAGAGAAAAGGATTCTTCCGATGTGGATTGGACCTGACAGGATCCCCCACATAACGGTTTAAGGGTTTAGGGTTTAGGGTTTAGGGTCCCCAATATAAATTTTCCATTTTCTTTTCCATTATCCCAATATAACCCCAAGATAAATTTTCCATTTTCTTCTCCATTTGAGTCTCCATTATAGTAGTTTCCATTATATTTTCCATTATCCCTATTATACTATTTTTTATGATCCCTTTACGAATGCCGGTATGGCTTCGGGTTTGGGGAGCATAGGCAGCTCAGGCACCCCTTGAATGCTTGAGGGGCATACAAGAGTTCAGGGTTTTGCAGAGACTCACGTTCAGACCTAAGACCCTACACCGTCAGCCAGGGCTTCAGATTATTTTGGCTGTTGTGATTCAGGCCCGTGATGCATGCAGAGCGTTGAATGAAAAAAGAGGGTCAAAGGCCCCATGCCGTCAAGCTAGGCAACCGCGCGGTTTAGGGTTTAGGGCTTAGGGTTTAGGGTTTAAGTTTAGGGTGTAGGGCTGGGTAGCCGAACGACGTAAGTGATCATGAGGCAATATGCTACAGTTCCTTCTAGGCAGTGTTATGGCTTGGGCCACGTTTCCCCAAACTGATTCGGTGAGAAGCGGTGGTTTGTGGACCGCTGTCCTTCAAAAACTTACGGGTGGTTAGCATGGAAAAAGGGAATATATTATATTGGGATGATGTAGGAATTGTATTACCCGGTTGCCTATACTAACTACCTACTAACTACCAGCAAGAAAAGGTGTGTTTATAGGGCTCCATGTGCAAAAAACTCGGTGAGGATAGTGTGTCGTAAGACTGAGACCCTAAACCCGAAATCCCTAAAACAAGCCTTTGCAGCCCTTATGCTAATACAGGTCTCCCCTTCACCCGCCACAAAAGAGCTTAGGCTTTAAGAGTTGAAATCTGAGGTTTAGGGTTTAGGGTTTAGGGTTGGGCCCCGCCGAGTGCTTGTGATGATTTTCTGGTCCTATCCCAACTGAGGATCACATTCATGCACCTGGGCTGCATTGCTGTACTTTGACGGACCATGGAGTTTGATAACAATTTTTTTGTCCCTCAAACCCTGAACCCTAAACCCCCATGCAAACACTAAACCCTAAACGCCCACATAAACCCTCGACCCCAAACCCTTAACCCTAAGGCCCTAAACCCTAAAAACCTCACGTAAACCCTAAACCAGAAGTAGGCTAAAGAACCAGTAGTAGGCCACAGGGTTCGGCAAGTACTGTTTCTTTCCCTAAGGGTCCAGGGACTCAAATAATAGGGCTTTAGGTCCTAAATACACTAACATTATAGTATTTGGTCCATAAAAGCTCTAAACCCTAAATTGTTTGGGCCCTTGGACTATAGGGTTTCAGTACTCCTTAGCTCGGCAGCCAGCCATTAAACCTTGGGGTTGTGGGTTGTGTAGGGATTAGGGGTTTAGGGATTTCAGGATTCAGGAGTTTAGGGTTTAGGGATCCAGGGTTTAGGGATTTAGGGTTTAGGGGTTCAGGGTTTAGGGATTAGCCTTGATGTGCAAACGAGTGCCTCGGCTTGGGAAAAGTCATGGGACCACCGTGGAGTCCCGCAATTGGCTTGCTGTTAAAGAACTTAAACTTAGTTATTTAACCCTGAACCCTAAACCCAAAAACACTAAACCTCAAACCCCTCCACCAACAACATGTACTCTCCCCAACGGATAAGGCCTGATCAGCCTCGGGAAGCCCTCATAATCCCCTTAAATTAAGCCACCCGGACAGGCCTCAATAAGTCTACCTCAACCCCCAAAGTAGGTAAAATAATGGCCCAAACCCCCTAAGAATAGCCCAAAAGGCCATTATTCTACATACTTTGGGGGTCCAGGTAGGGTTTAGGGTTGAGGGTTATGGGCCTTGATAGGTCCTGATAGTCCCCATCGATGGTCCTGCATTCCTTGTATGCTTTTGATGTAAGGTACCTCAAATGCCGCAATGTAGACTTGAGCATGATGCTGGTTGGACACCTCAATTTACCTGCGGTACAGGCGGCAGCTACTGAACCCTAAACCCTAAACCCTAAAAGCTTTGTAGCTACGTGAACTGAAGTTAAGAACCTTACTGGACCTCGTCTATAGCTGGGTACGCTCAGTTAGGGAAATACGGTTTTAAGGTTAAAAGCCCTGCTATAAGTACTTTCAAGCGTCATAAAACTTTAAGCAACCCCTTCAAGGTACTAGTGTTAACCCTGGGGGAGCATGTTTGAAAGTTAAGCGGTTACCTACCTGGTAATGAAGGGCCCCTGCGAAGTGGGCTAGGCATTTGGTCGACCTAAGCATGCGCCGCCTGCCTGACCATATCATGGTCGAAGCTTGGGCAGTTTAAGGTTTCGTGTTTGAGGTTGCGTTTCAAATTGGGGACTGCCAGGGGGAGGTGTGGGGGACAGTCAGGGAAGTTCAAGAGTATGCTTCCTTAATAGCCAAACCCCACCCCCTAAAGAAAGATCTTCTACCCTGAGCCAGAACTGTACTACATCCGAAAAGCTTCTTTCAGGGGGGGTGGACGTTTTATCAGGGAGGATGATGGTTGCTGTAGTTTGAAGAATGCCGAGTCCTTGATTTATTACAGACCCCGGACCCTCTTTCAGGGTGTAGCTCTAAACCCTAAACCCTATACCCTAAACCCTAAACCCTGGGCTTCTGGCCTAGGGCCTCCTCCCCAGATACTCGATATGGGGGTTTCCTACCATGATCCAGGGTTTAGGGTTTAGGGTCATAATCTCTAGACTGTAAATCTGTATGAGGCTTAACCAGGACTCTAGAGGAGGACCCTTGAGTATATTCCCCTGCCCATGGAGTCATTACAATCACATTAGAAAAAGCCGGGGAATACGGGTGCTTCGCCCAACCTTTTCAGTAAGATTGTAATGGGACTAAGTTTTGTTAGGTAATCAATAACCCCAATACCAAAGAATGCCAGTAAGAAGGGTTTGTAACTCGATTATGATTGGGTGGGGGATATATTGCAAATCCCTACGTAGTAGGAATATCATTAGGGGGGTGTGGAGTACAATTGCATATGAGTGGTTGTCAAAATTATGGTCCCTTTTTGGGCACCCTAAATATTAGGTGCCGCATTATAATAGGGACCCAAAAAGGGACCATAATTTTGACAACCACCCATATATCTCTGGGGCATTGAAGGCCAACCATTCTTTGAGAAACCCCATATCTAAGGAATTTTGAGGCGGGTAGTTTTCCCTAATGGGGCAATAGAGAAGAAGATTCAACGTATTGTTGTTGCTGTGTGTTTTAATTTAGGGTTAAAAACCCCCACTCCCTGTAAGCGATATTCCCTCTAATATGCATCATTTTGGGGGCTTGGGTGGGCACCCTAAACCCTAAACCAGTGATTGGAAGGCAAGAAGTGAGAATGATGCTGAGGCCCTTTCAGAGTTGAAGCCATGCCACTTTGGAAAGCCATGTTCCTCCTTTAAAGGGGTTATGGGATATATAGGGGTATATAGGGTTTAGGGCTTATAGGGATAAGGGTCTAGGGTTTCGCTAAACGATGGGTCCCAAATTTCCAAGCTACGCGCCTGTTAAGGGTTCAGGGTATAGCTTGAGGTTCCCTAAACCCTAAACCCTAACTTCAGGGTTTGGGGTTTCAGGCTTCCAAGCCCAAAGCCGACGAAGCAACTGGCAGGTCGTAATAAGCAGGGCCAGTACTTTCAAGGGACCGTGCTTGGAGGGGTTATACAGGGATTCTACAGGTTTAGGATTTAGGGTTTTCCAGTTAAAAGGGTATTATCTCTAACAGCGGAGACTCAAGTGGCTCAGGAATGGAAACTCATTTGGAAGCTGGCTTAGGAAAATCAAACGGACAAGAAACGGGAGAACGGAGTGGAGTCTGGGTTTACACAGGTAGTGCTATGATAGAATATGGGTCCCTTTAAAGGGGTTATATAGGGATTATATGGGGATAATGGAAAAGAAGATGGAAACTACTATTTAGGGTTTAGGGTTTAGGGATTGAAGGTATACAACGGAACTCTTTTGTTATTAACATCCTCCTGGGCCTGGCATGTTGGGAGGCTACCGCATAGTTTCACAAATACCCCCGCAATCTTAAACCCTGAGCCCAGAACTTCCAGAAAGTCCAAAATCACCCAATTAGGGAATATACCTTAAATCATATAAGGAATCTTAGCACAATTTAGGTTCTATTCCGTAATTCAGAGATATTGGACTTTCTGGATTCTACCGAAAGCCTAAACCCTAAACCCCAAACCCTTAACCCTAAACTCTAAACCTAAGCCCTAAACCCTAAGCCCTAAACCCCAAACTCTAAACCTCAAACCCTAAACCCTAAACCCCAGACCCTGAAGCGCTTCAACCACCTGAAGCTGCTACCTCTCAGATTTCCACGGCCCACAAGCTCCAAAACCTTAATCCCGAGGTCTTAAGTGCGCTTAATATTGGGTTTGGGGTTTAGCGGAAGAGAAAATGGAAACTACTGTAACGGGTTTAGGGTTTGATGTCCTGTACTTTATCCTTGGGACCTAGCTTGGGCCTTAGACCCTATAGACCCTTTGGGATTCCCTTGTACACCCAGTATAAGTACCTATAAAGGTTAACCCTTACTAGGGGTCCTAAGTTCTAGGCAGAATCCTAAATGCCAAGGTCTTCAGTTCACCGGGGTTTAGGGTGTAGCTTGAGTCCGAGCATCCTCCAAACATCTATGGAGTCATCCCATTGGGTGAGCACAAATCACTGCCCCCGAATCCCTCAGCCATAGCCCCCTAAGCCAGAAACCGCGAATCCCAAACCCTAAACCCCACACCATAACTCCTAAATCCTACCACCTGAGCCCTACATCCAAAGTCTGATACCCCAAGCTCTACACCCTAAACCCCCATCGCAAGCATTCCACAACTCTAAACCCTAAATCCCTACACCCTAAATCCTTAAATCTTCAAACTCTGAACCCTAAACCCTAAATACCTAAACCCTAAATCCCTACACCCTAAATCCCTAAATCTTCAGGCCCTAAACCCTCAACCTGGAACCCCAGGAAGTGCACCGACTGAAGTCACAAATGCCACCGCCACAGCTCGTTTCTTCCGCTCGGGGATGGTCAGTGGCGCTGTAAAGGATTCAGGGGTTCAGTGTTTGGAGTTTAGGGGTTTGAGGGTTTAGAGTTTGGGGTTACGGGGTTTAGGGCTTAGGGTTCAGTGTTTTAGGCTTTGTTGCTCCTGGACCTTAGACCCTGAACCCCGAAGCCCAAGGGCACAAGGGTCAATGTCCACGCTTGAAGAAATATCAAGATGAGCTTCCTAGATTTCGTGTGTAATCATGGTGGCCCACCTCAAATAGACCAATAAATCATATTGGCAGCTCAGGCTTCTACATATGAGTAGTATTTTATTTGGGGATACTATGGTACCCATTATAGAGTAAGATTACTTAAGAGCCTCCGGCTCAGTCCGCCGACCCAGTGGCGGAGAAAGCACGAAAGCCTAAACGCGAAACCTTGAGGGTTTTCAGCGGCTGGCACGAGACCAATAGATAGGCGCAACAGGACTAGTC